AAAATTTTATAACCAATTGTGGAAAAAAAATCACTTTAATGGACAATTTCCATGTAAAACAAAGCCAAACGAATAGAAAATCTAAAAATTTTCCGAGTGGAAAATTATACCAATTAAACACACTTGAAATCATTTTTCCTACAAAACATTTTCTAAAAAAATCTTTTCCCTGTAAAACATTTTCTTTCCACCCATTTTCCACCCTTCCAATCAAACGGACCCTAAATTATTTCTAATTTTTAGAGTATGTTTGAGCATCGTTTTTATTAAAATAATAAATTGACGAATAATGAATGATTAAAAAATAAAAAGAAAAAAATATATTTTAAAAATAACATGGATCAAACAAGAGCTTGGACAATGATGAATTTCATGTGCGGTCATTGAGCTTTTAACAAAATTTCAATTGAGTAACTAAAATTTAATTTATAGCAATTAGGTCATTAAACTTCAGCTTAGTTTCAAATTTGATTTCAAATTAGTTGCACGACCGATTTCCTAAACTGAACGTTGCTTTAATCGGCAGATATACTCGACGAATCATAAATCGACCATTTTTCTTAAAACTTGTTTTGATTTTGATCTATCGAGAAAAAACCAAGGAGCAATAACTTGTTTTGGGGGGATTTTAATCCAATTAAAATTGAAAATATAGTCATTCTTGGATCTCACTCGTCTAATAAAAGTCAACAATAACGACTAATTTTTCAATTTTAATCCGATTTTAATCTCTATTAAACAAGCTAACATATATTATAATAGAAAAAAGAAGCATAAAGAGACATCAATATTCTTGAGAATAAAAGTAATAATGGTTAAAAAAAATATGTGAACCCATTAAAATTGGAACGACGCAATTCGCAGAATTAGAAGTCTTTGTACAATTTGCGTCACAACTTTTATTATTTTTATTATACACCAAAAATTGTTGAGCTATTGTTTTATCTTTTGTTGTTAGCCATTGCCATACATTTTGTCTCTATTCTTATTTTTATTTTTTGAGATCTTTTTGACCCTACATAGGATAATAACTGCAAAAATGTTATACGTACGCATATATTGTCTTTTCATTTGAGGTTAATTATATTCAGACTTTATTACACCATATTTTAATTTTAATGAAGGTACCTAAGTTTTGTTCATCGTTGTATTTATGTCCTCAACGTTTTTATCCTTAATTTTTAATGAATTTACATATTTTGTCCCTAATGACAGTAAAAAACCTTAAGATGGGAGTAAAAAAGACTTATTTGCCCCTCATATTTTTCCATAAGCAAGATAAATTAAAAATATAAAGTTCGACAAAATATTTTCTTCATGATAACAAAATATTTGAACAAAAATTGTCATTAGAAATATTATGTGCTAATTAAATGAAGATTAAGTGCGTGTTTGGTAAGGATTCAAATTAGATTTTTAGTAGATTGTGAGAGAAGTTTCGAAATGTGTGGTTGAAAAATTGTAGGGTCCATGAAAAATGTGGTTAATATTGATTGTTTGACTTTAACTTAGATTAAAATATGATTTTAATCTAAAACAAACAAGGCCTAAATATAAATACAATAAAAAAGTTGACGACATAAGTGCGAGAATGAGCAAAACTTCATGACCTTCATTAACATTAAAAAGTGATACACTTAACAAAAACCGATTTTATTTCAATTGATTCCCTTTTAACCCTCAATGGCAGAATTTCAATAAAAATAAGTTTGGTAATATTTAAAATTCCCCTCATGAGAGCAATTTATATATGAAGGAAAAGATATAGAAATTCAAAAGGTTACTATGCCTTGTTTGGTTTAGATAAAAATCAACTTTTTAGTAAATTTTAATAAGAATTGATGATATGTGTGGCTAAAAGATTGTTGAGTTGGTAAAACATGTGAGTAAAATTAATTATTGATTTTAACTTAAATTTTAATTAATTTTTGTAGCAGAACCAAACGGGGACTATATAACTTTGATGATATTCAGAGAAAAGTAGTTTTAAGATAATCATAAAGAAGCTATAGTGTACAAAATCATAAGTCAATAATGTAAATATGACAAAAAAAAAAGGAAAAAAAATTCTTATCATCTTCCAATGAAATGATCTATCACAGTATTATTCTTTTAAACATAATTGAATAAGTTGTTTTTTCTTACTTATAGTAATTCCCAAACAAATTAAATAAGTTAACTTTTTTCCATTTAACCTACTCGTAATATAAAGATTATTATCAAAATAAGTTACTTTTCATTTTCTATCATTTCAACCTCAAGTATGGTTGGGGGGCGGTGGGAAGGGGAGTTGGCCTCCAAGTTTTTTGATTTTTTTTTTTTTTTTTAAAGTTACTTATAGACTCTATTTCATCTTATTTTTATATTTAATTGCGTGAACAAGGTAAGTTAAATTGATGTAAAAATAGAATTTTAATTTAAATTGTTCGAAATCAAAACATATCTCGATGAACCGCGTAACTTGAAAATAGCCGAAATATGTGAAGCCAAAAATAGAATTAAAAAAATAAAAATAGTATTATGAAATCCATTTCTAACATTCATCTTTTATTTGTTAGTTTGAACTCGCGCTTTCATGATTTTACAACCTGCAAGATGTGTTAAAAATTTATCATGAAATTACTTCGACACAGTACAAAAAGTTCTACTCAGATGAGTAAAGAATATAACCCCGAAAATATATCGAAAGATATGACGTCAAAATACCAATTAAAAATAGAATTATTAATGAGTCCGAATAGGGTGACGAAGATGGAATATTAGTCGACTAACATAGCGTGTGGATCAACACGTATACTTTTCTGATTGCCCAAGAAATTTTCACTATTTTCTAAAGGTATACAAAAACAAAAAGAGGTACTTGGATGAACCAACTTCTATGTATCTTGATAAAAACAATGTGCTCTCATTTCCCAGCCAACAACGTTAGTGATTTTCGAGAAAGTAAAAATACATACTAATATTTAATTACATATTGAGGCAAAAGGGACAATTTTTCTTGAGCAATTTCTTTATGATGCAATATCATGAAATTAGGATTCAGGCGTTGTTGAATATTGAGCTCAATTTTAAATTATTTGTTAAGAAAATCTCAAGTGGAATCATTAACCTATATGATAGGGTGATGGATTTTTTAATGTGAATATGTGCTCGTTATTTCAATTCATGTAAACTGCTAATGTATCGCGGTATTTGATCGTATTATATGATCTTACTCATTGGCATAGAAAAAATATTCGAGCTCACAAATAGCAACAACTGCTCCATAGCGAATTAAACTAATGCACAAGACAAACAAGCGTATATTAATTTATGCTCAAGGTCATGCTACGGGAATTAATCTACATGGTCCACTCCGATACACTATGTGGTACACTCAATGTACTAATGTCAATACTCTCCAACCTTTGATCGTTAGTTTTTGCATGTCACAAAAGTTGTCTAGTTGTAAAGATGTGGAAAGTTCGATGATATATGAAATATTGTAAAAAGTATAGTGACAAATGGGATATTTATCCCCCAAATTACTTAATGTAGATATTTGTAACGTGTTGACTGACGAAATAATGAATTTTCATAATCTTGACAAATTCATTAACAACTCAATACTTAAAGTGCATTGTGATCAATTAAGAATCTTGAATTGAGAAGTCGGAAATCTCTGTAAGAGTTGAAAAAAACAAAAAATAAAAATAATGGCACTAATTATTTCAAAAGTGAAAATTGAAGTTGTTACTTGTTTACTAAGTGCTGGAAAATAAAAATAATGATCCCGCTAAATAAATACGATTTGCATGAAAAATAGGGGGATTCTTTCTCGATCTCACATTAATATGTTANATTAATTTTTGTAGCAGAACCAAACGGGGACTATATAACTTTGATGATATTCAGAGAAAAGTAGTTTTAAGATAATCATAAAGAAGCTATAGTGTACAAAATCATAAGTCAATAATGTAAATATGAAAAAAAAAAAAAAATTCTTATCATCTTCCAATGAAATGATCTATCACAGTATTATTCTTTTAAACATAATTGAATAAGTTGTTTTTTCTTACTCGTAATAGTAATTTCTCAAACAAATTAAATAAGTTAACTTTTTTCTTTTAACCTACTCGTAATATAAAGATGATTATCAAAATAAATTACTTTTCATTTTCTGTTTAGCCAAGTAATTTCTATCATTTCAACCTCTAGTGTGGTTAGGGGGCGGAGGGAAGGGGAGTTGGCCTCAAGTTTTTTGAATTTTTTTTTTACAAAAAGTTACTTATAGACTCTATTTCATCTTTTTTTTTATATTTAGGCCCTGTTTGAGTCTCATTTTTTCCTTTACATTTCATTTTTCTACAGTATCCTGAGCGGAAAAGACATAAACAATGAATTCCTTGTGTCAGTGCTCAGTTTTGGCCCAATATTACCGTTGGACCAGACTTCCCAATATTACCACAGAGAACATCCACGACAGTCGCATATTGGCCCGAGCTGTACATAGTCCGGAAATCAATTTTCCAGAACCCGCGAATGGGAAATATTACTTGGTTGACTCAGGTTTCGCACATAGGCCTGATTATATGACTCCATATAAAGGGCTCTGATATTAGATACCATTTTCAAGAGTTCGACCGTGCAAGAGATGAGCAACGCCGTAGGTTTAAAAATGCACGCGAGCGGTTCAATTTTCATCACTCCTCATGCCGCAACATTATTGAGCGTGTTTTCGGTGTTTGGAAACAGAGGTGGAAAACAGTTGATCGAATGCCTGCTTACAACATGAGAGCACAAACAGCTGTGGTCGTGGCGACAATGGGTATACATAACTTCTGAGGGAGAAACGGTCGCCTCGATGAGGGGTTTCGTAGAGCCGAAGAAGAAGATGACGACGAGGTAGAGGTAAATCTACCAAATGAAGAAGACGAGATTGCCGCTGAGCTCAATGCAGTAGCCGAAGAGGACATGCCGTGGCAGCAACTACGTGATTACATGGCACGGGCCTTTTTTTACGTTAGTGCCTATAGAAGAAGTCGTAGTGGGGTACGTATTACTAAATTGTGTTAGTCATACGATTCGGATGCTAGTGTTAAATAAATCTTATGTCAGAAAATAGGCGACGTTCACGAATTATTTATCACTGCAAGTTCTATGTAGTGAAATCTTAAGAATTCGGAAGCTCTCAGATTGGTAATATTTGCCTACAGTGGCTAAATAATGGAATGTAAACTTTGACTTTTCAACACTATTTGCAAACAAGGAATGAAATGTTGGAATATTGACTTTACAATAGTAGTGAACACGTTTTTCATCTCACGCGCCGGCATCTAACACAAATTGAACTAAAAAGAAGAAGGGCATTCTCGGGATTAAGTAATAATTTCCACCAGCTGCTGTCTGTACCAATCCTTTATGAGGCTGACTCAACGGTCAGACACGCTCGCCTTCCAAGGATAATGGGGCCCTCTTTCCATGCTAGTTATTGTTGAAAAAATTGGAAAAAACGGGTGTCAAACGGCAACAAGGCAAGTTAAATTGATGTAAAAATAGAATTTAAATTTAAATTGTTCGAAATCAAAACATATCTCGATGTACCGCGTAACTTGAAAATAGCCGAAATATGTGAAGCCAAAAATAGAATTAAAAAAATAAAAATAGTATTATGAAATCCATTTCTAACATTCATCTTTTATTTGTTAGTTTGAACTCGGGCTTTCATGATTTTACAACCTGCAAGATGTGTTAAAAATTTATCATGAAATTACTTCGACACAGTACAAAAAGTTCTACTCAGATGAGTAAAGAATATAACCCCGAAAATATATCGAAAGATATGACGTCAAAATACGAATTAAAAATAGAATTATTAATGAGTGACGAAGATGGAATATTAGTCGACTAACATAGCGTGTGGATCAACACGTTTACTTTTCTGATTGCCCAAGAAATTTTCACTATTTTCAAAAGGTATACAAAAACAAAAAGAGGTACTTGGATGAACCAATTTCTATGTATCTTGATAAAAACAATGTGCTCTCATTTCCCAGCCAACAACGTTAGTGATTTTCGAGAAAGTAAAAATACATACTAATATTTAATTACATATTGAGGCAAAAGGGGCAATTTTTCTTGAGCAATTTCTTTATGATGCAATATCATGAAATTAGGATTCGGGCGTGGTTGAATATTGAGCTCAATTTTAAATTATTTGTTAAGAAAATCTCAAGTGGAATCATTAACCTATATGATAGGGTGATGGATTTTTTAATGTGAATACGTGCTCGTTATTTCAATTCGTGTAAACTCCTAATGTATCGCGGTATTTGATCATATTATATGATCTTAATCATTGGCACAGAAAAAATATTCGAGTTCACAAATCTCAACAACTGCTCCATAGCGAATTAAACTAATGCACAAGACAAACAAGCGTATATTAATTTATGCTCAAGGTCATGCTACAGGAATTAATCTACATGGTCCACTCCGATACACTATGTGGTACACTCAATGTACTAATGTCAATACTCTCCAACCTTTGATCGTTAGTTTTTGCATGTCACAAAAGTTGTCTAGTTGTAAAGATGTGGAAAGTTCGATGATATATGAAATATTGTAAAAAGTATAGTGACAAATGGGATATTTATCCCCCAAATTACTTAATGTAGATATTTGTAACGTGTTGACTGACGAAATAATGAATTTTCTTAATCTTGACAAATTCATTAACAACTCAATATTTAAAGTGCATTGTGATCAATTAAGAATCTTGAATTGAGAAGTCGGAAATCTCTGTAAGAGTTGAAAAAAACAAAAAATAAAAATAATGGCACTAATTATTTCAAAAGTGAAAATTGAAGTTGTTACTTGTTTACTAAGTGCTGGAAAATAAAAATAATGATCCCGCTAAATAAATACGATTTGCATGAAAAATAGGGGGATTCTTTCTCGATCTCACATTAATATGTTACCGACATTTCATAACTAAATAATTTGAACATATAAGATAAAGTATAAACGAGTAAAAGTATATCATTGACCACTGTACTTTTCACAATGTTTTACATTGACTATTATTCCTTTTCACAAGATTTATGACTTGCCATAGGAGTCTTGTGACATGCAAAACTGACGATCAGAAATACAATATTATCCAAATTTTACGTCTATCTTTTAATGGTTGCTGACTAAATAATATATGATTTAATGGGTTGATAAGTTCAGTGACTAGCCATTGATTTTTGTACATTAACCCACACTTTTGAAGTAACAGACACTTCGCTCGCCTAAGAAGAATCTAAGGCACTTTTTGGATCAAGTGCTGAGGAGCAAACGATCTTCGCTTAGAGAGATGCAACTAAAAATCCAACAATTTTCCCATAAATAATAATCATATATAGCAAGTTTTATTATCTTTGACATGAATGGCCAAATCTAAAATTTCAGATATCCATTTAATTGTTGTGTAGGTAATTTATGCAGAAACGTGATGAAAATATGTCACTTTGGGGACGCGAAAACACGGGTTTGTTAAGGATAAAACTTTGTCCAAATTTAGCACATTGGATAGGGTGGAATCTGCCAACTTTGACTAGTATATCCATATATAGTAGTTAGTGTGACCCAAAATACAAACGTGCACATGCAATTGAATAGTCAGTCTAACAGAGGCATTGAATAGTTTTAATGATCATCCATTTATTTGAAATACTCAGATCAAGGCGAAGGAACCTCAAGCAACTCTGGCTATTTTATTGATAGTGCAAATTCAAGGATACAGTAAAATTACGATAAAGCACCGTATATATCTATACTGATTAAAACCATTTATGCATTGGAGGTGAAGTTGAAGTTGGCACAGGTTGTCTGTCGGAATAGCAGCGAAGAGCTGAATCCTAGTCTTGATGTTGCAAGATCAAACTGCAACAGATTGTCTTCAATTTGGTGACCTCCAATTACAATTGATGTCGTAGGATTCACACCCCCATCCACAAAGCCAAGGCATAGCACATCATTATTCACTTGAACCATCGAGTTTGCACCAAATATTCTCCAATACACACTCTCACTTTGCAGAACAAGATCAATGTTAGGCACGGCTGGTCCGACACGGGTGCTACCGATGTTTCTTGAACTAAAGCATGCTCCAAACGGCGCCACGGGTGTAACTCTAGTGACATTAGAAAGTTCTGATACAAAAGCATTAATAACAGCATTGTAAATTGATGATTCTAAGACTGTGTAAGGATTAACACTGCTGATCTTCGTTCCGCCATTGCCTTCACTGTCGATAGACAGTAATGTTGTGTTTATAGGGACATCTTTTTCGTTGATCTTGATAGATCTTACTCCGATGAAGTATTCAGCCGATGGCTCACCGGAAGAGTAGGCTGATGCAGTGCTTACTGGGTTGATAATAAGTGGGGTGTAAATAAGATTGGTTGAAGCATCAATATTGGGAAGAAATCGATATGGGCCATCACCAAATATTACAACACCTCTGGCTGTTGTTGAAGAGCTTAAACAAACAGCAAATTTTCTGTCAAAGCTAAAATCTGCAGCAAATTGAGAAGGAAGTGCAATTCTTGTCCTTCCGAGGCCAGCCATGCCCTTAACGCCACTTGCAAGCCCTTGTAAAAGGAACGTGGAGCCACAAACGAAGAGAAACTGGGACACAGAAACATTCCTGCCAGGGTTCCTTCCATCGGTAGATTGAATTGATACAACATCGGAAGCCAATTCCCCACTGGTGGCAGTCCTTGTCACGGTGTTATCCGGGAGGAGGCTGCACGTGTTATTATTGCAGCCCGGCCTAGGCGGTGAAAAACACTCCCCGCAGCCAGTGGCTCTGGCAAGTGAGCATTGAGCCGATCGACAACGGGCAGGCCGATAAGTGGATGAGACATAGCCTTGCTCACAATCCACCCACAAGAACTGGCCACCAAGATCAAGTGTTACACTGACAGGCACAAGGGGTGTCCTTTGATTAATTTGAGCAAGGTATTGAAGAGTTGATGGGTCTTTTGTGACAGGTAGAATAAGAGCCCTAGGTCGAAAAGACGTTTGTGCAATAGCTGAGGAAACAAACAGAAAAGAGCATAAAATGAGGACGTACGAAGAAGAAGAAGCACCAGCCATGATCAATAACTTTGGTATAGAATGGATGGAAGACAGCTCCCTTTTATAATTGGGTCTATCAATTACGTGATGAGGTGAAGCTGTCCAAAAGATTTCGAGTGTCGACTTATTTGAAAATTCAACGCGTCCAGAAGGGTTGAGATTTGGAAAATATGACTTTGATTTGGGCTTCTACATGGCTATATCCATTATATATCTTCTATATATTAAAAGTGGCTATATAACGGAATTTCTTGTTTTTAATGAAAAAACTAACGGAATTTCTTGTTTTAAACAGACAACGGCACCTTCTTTCAGTATTTTTATCATAACTTTGTATTTCGATGTCCGATTGAGGCGATTCAAAATGCGTTGGAAAGCTAAACATCACAACATCAAAGTCACACATTTAATTATTTATCAATTACATAAACATTACATCATTAATTATTTAATGAACCAAAAAAATTACATCTTTATTAATAATAAATTAATTCTTAAACAAAACTATTAAATATAAACTAGGCAAACGTGCATTTCACGTTGCTTGCACCTAGTAACAAAAAAAATGCCATTATCACCTTTAAATCATTAATACGAATTAATGCAATTATATAGTATGATGGAGAGATCAGATCTAAACTCGTTTTGCACTAAATAATTAAAAATCTAAGAAACATAAAATTGTTAGATCACCAATTATGTTCATATTGATTGCTAATCACTTTAGTATTTAACTTCGTTGATATTCGATTTACCAATGTATTGCTAGTCACTTTGATATTTATCTTCGTTAATATTCGACTCACCACTTGAATTATGGCATTGGCATTATGTCTATATGTATTGATTAACTTTTATTCTATTCACATCTATTCATCGATCGAGACATTGATTGTCCGTCTTATATGAAATTTGTTACGCCGCGAAAAGCTAGGACCCATGAAAGGACCCACGTGGCAAACAGTTCAAGGGCCCATGCGGGAGAACCAATCCAGGTGCGAGCGACCCGACTCTCCCACCAAAAACATTTGTGCAGACCCCTTTACGGGCAGACCCCAGTGACAGACCCGATGAGGACGAGGCAGTGGCAAGATCTTGAATGGATCCCACAAGACGTGAGTTGACAAGACAACTCACTGCCACTGCCGCCGCCACCATCCTGTTTGGTCAAGTCTAAAAGTACAGGCTAGACTTTATGGATGCAAAAAGGGCAATAGCATTTAAGGCAAGAATTGATTGATGTATTTGACAAGAAAGGAAAGCCGTTCGTATGAGGCCACGTGTACTACCATCGTGTGGCTCTATTCATTTCATCCAAGTATAAAAGCTCACTCTTAGTGCCATTCGAGGGTAATACAAGTTTAAATTCTCAAATCTATATTCTTGCTACATACATTTTTAGTTATCTACTCTCAAGCCGACCCTTTTTTTTATTGATTGGAGGCTCACGTTCAAAACTGTCACACGCCCTAAATCATTCCTCTAGCTGACTTGACCGTCGAAGAAGGCCACGTGCGACCAACGGTTTGTTCAAGTATGCCGGAATTCAACTTATGTGGACGTTAGAGGTATTGAAATCTGTTGGTCACATTATAGATACATCTTTTGGGGTCAACAAAATTCATAAATTTTTCAGAGATATGTTGCAATATTCTCGATTTAAAAGAATTTATAAATAAATAGAAATGGATAGTTAATAAGTAAATAGACTTTTATATTCATTGAAATATGTTACTAAAAATATTTATAAATAATTTTAAAATCTTGTCAAATGGAATTTATCTTGTTAATTGATTCACGTACACCGACACTTTCCTAAGCTATATCAGCATAATACTTATCGCACAAGGCATATGCTGGTTTCACATCATTTAAATTATTGAAATACAATTAATTTTGAAAATGACCGATCTATTCAAAGTCATACTTTGAGTGCCGCCTTCGAAAGAATAATTAATAAGATAACATTAAAAAAAGTCAAAACAGTAGGAATTTTATCCTCTAAAAATTATCATAATTTATTGGTCTGAAAAATATTCGACAAATATTATTTTTTTTCCCTTGTTAACTAATTTTTAGGGTGCGTTTACTTGTCAATATTTTCAATGAAAAATGTGATTTTATGGATGGGACATGGTTTTGATGGTTTGGTCATAGCCTTTTGAAGAACCTCTTTAAGAAATTTGGATATTAAACATAAAAGTTTCTTGCCTTCCCAATATTATAAGAAATAAAGACCTAAAATTTGTTACGCAATTAAAGGGAACGTAGACATTCTTAATTGACCATTAATCGGATAAGTTCTAGAAGACTTTATCTTTAAGATGTCGAGAAAATGTTAAATTATTTGAGACGCGGATATTGTTTTAATCAAGTCCCACCACGAATATCTAAGAAATTGCAATTAGTATTTCAAATTTTATATCACGGCGTCTCAATTTTTTCCCTAAAACAATTTCAATATATCTTAAATTAATTACAAATAAAAACCTAATCATTGAAATGTTTTTAATTAATCTCTACCGACGTCTATTAAAGTTAAACAATACAGAATTACGTAATTAAAAGCTTGTTTGGGAGGAATTTTAATCCAATTAAAATTGAAAATATAGCCGTTATTGAGTCCCACTCGTCTAATAAAAGTCTACAATAACGACTAGTTTTTCAATTTTAATCCAATTTTAATCCCTTCCAAACAAGCTACAAGTTTTGCATGTGTATTATTTGTGCCAAAATTGACCGGACATATCCTTTACCCTTGTTTGAGACTAGTCGGCTGCAAACTACAATAGACAGAGACATGTGACTTATCACGTGGAAGATCATCCACTATTACTAGCTAGATCCTAACTACCGCAATTTTATCCTTGAAATATAAGAATTCTACATAAATAATATAATGATTAATAGTGTATCGTCTCGTAAAAATTGATTACTGATTACACTTTAATTAAAATTGACCCTAACAAGAACCCTATATTTGTCCGCTTCGATTATCTGATTATTATAAGTTCATGCTGGCGATTAGCGTTCTGATTATACCTAACAATCTCTCGATCAAAGTTAAGCCTAATTCTAAACCTCTACGAAAGTTATGAACATAAAAATTACATTAAACTCTAAAACATTCAATTCGAAATCACACAAGACATATGAGCTTATCTTTATCCTATATTGGACTTTATGTTGTTTGTTAACTAGTGACAAATATGTTCCAAATTTGAGGTTAACCTACAAACACAATAGATACACTAAAATGAGTGGAAATCTACTCAATACATCAATACTAATTTTAGTTTAAAAGCGTAAACAGACACGTAAAACACACTCATTAGACAACATCAACAGGTTTTCACAATGTTAAAGTATTAGACGACACCAACGAAAACGGTGAAAGAGGAGGAAATGATTCAACATCAACAGGTTTTCACAATGTTAAAATATTAGACGACACCAACGAAAACGGTGAAAGAGGGGGAAATGATTCTACACTATGGACTACACAATGCACATTACATTCGGCCGCCACACCAATCCGCAAGCCATGCTTCTAAATTTGCAAATCAGAGGCCACGAAGTGCCCTATATTTTATAAACTACAGAAGTACTCAAAACTACTTGGGGTACTTACAAAAATACCTTTAAAATTAGGAGTGTTTTAAAAAATCATGTGAAAGGTTTTTTGGAAGTAAAAAATACTATATAAAATAAAAATGTGACACAATGTCACTTTTTTTAAAAAAGTGACAAAATTCAAAAAAAAAGTGACAAGTACTAAAAAAACACAAACCAATTGTACAACACCAATAATCATGATTCAACGAAAGTGATCAGCTCGCCTGAGCCGAGCAGGTCAGCTCGCCATGGACGAGTAGCTCGTGGGATATTTGAGTTGGTGAAACAATGATCGAAATGGTCACTGTTCAAAAGTTGCAACNAATGTGATCCACTGTCACCTTAAAGTTAAGTGTCACTTTTTTATTAAAAAAAATTGACGTTTGTCATTAAAAAAGTGATAGAAATCATGAAAGTGATTGAAAAAAGTGACAAAAATTAAAAAAAGTGACAGAAATTCAAAAAAGTGACAAAACACCGATCAAAACCTATATTTGTTATTCAAAAAAGTGATATAAAATTTTAAAAAGTAACAAGCAATAAAAATGAAAAAAATTTCAGAAAAGTGGCAAAAAAAAGTAACAAACGCTCAAAAAAGTTACAAGCACACAAAAAAAATGATAAAATTGATATTTGTTACTAAAAAAGTCATTGAAATTTTAAGAAAACGACTGAAAAAAGTGACAAACACTAAAAAAAATTGACATAAATTTTAAAAAAGTGACGAATTTAAAAAGCACATTAAAAAAGTTGCACACATTCAAAAAAAAAAGTGACAATTCTTGTGGTGATATTGTGCATCATATTTCGCCTTGGGTTTCGTCACAAAAATATCAAAAGTTAGGATTGCTTTATCTTTCAGTTTGTGATAAGGTTCCAGCTACAGGTGATGAATAATATCAGAACTAGGAAACAAATGTTGTATTTTATTGATGAAATCGAGGAAAATTACAATACTGGAAAAGAAAATACAGCAACATTCGAGAGGGCTAGTCTCTCCACACTCTTCACTACTCACTAGATTTTTGCATTGTGAATTTTCCAAAAGTGCAATAAATAAGTAATATTTATCATAAACCTTGGCGTTCCTTCTCGAACATCGTGGCCAAGTCTTTGCAACAAACAATCAAAAAAGTCATTTTCTTCCGTGAAACCACGCCCAAAAACATTGATTAAAAAGGTAAATACTATCACATATACTAGCATGAGAACATCGAACACTTCTTACAGCGCGGCCACATGCACTCATTTGGAAACTATTGGCAGTACAACTGGTGGCTATACCGTCCAACCATGTTCCCTTTAAATGAGAAAAGGAAAAACAATGGAGACCCAAGCTGTAGCTCCGTGATTTTTTTATGATTATTGAATGAGATTTCTTAAAAATCCTCTCAATAGTTTAC